GCAAGGCTGTGTATGCAACACTGGATGGAAGAAATTTGTGGAGGGCTATAACTGCCCATGCCTTGAGGGGACACAGCACATTAAGATTAAAAGAAATATAAGAGCTTACACATATACTTATTATTAGCTTGAAACATTTAGTATTTTTCAATAAGTGGCATTTGAATATGTGATTTCAATTTACAACATACATGCATATGTCAACATGTCTTTCTATATGAGTTTTTTTGTAGATTGTGAATTTTAAATGATTTATGTTAATGGAAGAAGATGAGATGCATTCTTGTCATTTGATGTTCTTTTATTTCCAGAATGAAAAAGAAAAACATTGTACAAACAGCAAAAAAGGTATATGCCGTTTATGGAAGCAGTGCCATAGCTAAGAATACTATTCATAAGTGTTTCATGAGGTTCAAAAGTGGAAAATTTGATTTGGAAGATTGAGAACATTTTGGCAGGCCTGCAGTCATTGATGATGACCAAATCAAAACCCTGATTTAAAATGATCCAGGTCAAACCACACAAGACAGTTGGGCATTATAAAACATTTGAAAACACTTGGATACATAAATCACTGTAATATTTAGGTAGTAGTTGACATGTGCTCACATCCAAGCATTGAGATTGTCATCCACTCTCCTTATTTGCTTCCTCACCCCTGATGGCAGTGTCAGAGATGACTGTCAAGGCCTGAAGAGTTGTGAGCAGGAGTCACAGAGGACTGTGGGTGGCGGACATGCTGAGCAAGTCAGGACCACCTGACAACATGTCACAGATCCTTGGACATCCCCACCCCTGCAGCAATGGTTTCCCAGGTCTCAGGGTTGATGTTGGCCTGTGTCAGGGGGTGTCTTCATCTGATCCTTGAAGTGTCATTTTGGGCTCTGTGTAGCCTTTTGCGGTTGGCAAGTTCCCCAAACTGGATGATATGTGAGAGTCAAGCAGAACACATTCTGGACATGTGATTTGCCCAATCAAGATGATATTGAAGGATGGTAACTTTGATGCTTGCGAGAGATGTCTGAGAAAGGACATCATTGTTGGTGATGCAGTCCTCCCAACTGATGTGAAGGATTCTTTGAAGCTTTGTTTGCTGGAACTTCCCCAGACATGTGTTCATGTATCTCAATATTTAGGTACCTCACACTTTAATGAAAAAATATAATGGACTGCATTTCTATTAATGATTCTCTGTTCAAATGCAACAATACAACTCATTTTTCAAAAGATGATGGTGAAAAATGTAGAGCAAAAAAGTCCTGTAGAAAACCAAATGAGCCACCATTCATATTCTTCCTCTATGTACCATGTCCCTTCAGGACGTTGGTGTTCATTGTTCTCCAAAATTTCCTGTCCTTTGTAGCTCTTAGTAAATTACAATATAACCCATTTTTCAAAAGAAAGTGATGAAAAATGAATTGTTTACAAAATTATAAACCCTAACCCTGCCATCCATTTACTCAAGCTCTCTAGAGAGGTTATACACCATTTTCCTCGATCCCTCTTGCCCAACCTACCCTATGAGTATCAAATTTTCCAAAACCTCTTTCCTCATTATGTGCTCTAGAAATTTCAATTTTCTCTTTCTGATACTATCTATAAGTATCTTTCTTCTTTCCATTTTCTCTAAAATTCCTCATGTTCATAGTATTCTCAGTATCCTTCTGTAAAACTACATTTCTGTTGCTTTGTCTCTTCTTTATCTTTGAAGAAATTTTCCAGCATTCACTGCCATATACGATGACCAATACGACATAACAGTTAAGTATTCTTTTCTTTGTTTCTAATGCTCAAAAACCAGATTTGCATTATGTCAGAAACTTAAGTTGGAAATAAAGAATGAAACTTGTCTTATTTTCAGTCCCTGCTGCTTTCTTAATAGCTATGGAATATGGGTTCACACATCATGAGACAACACATGAGTATTCTACCGACACATTACCGATGAGGGTTTTCATGAGTGTACAGTCCAATTCTAGAGCTGCAACCCCTATTGCAGATGCTGCATTGATAAAGTGGGATCTGAGTGCTACTGTTGGTGTTCCTCTTGGCATGTTTTTCAATGAGGAGACTGGTATGCCTGTTCACATAGACAGCAATGCCCTCTTTGCAAGTTCTCCTCCAGGGTGCACAGGCTTGGGTAGGACTTTCACAGCTATCAAGGCCAATGTCACATCTCTTGAGATTGTATTTAACAGTGTCCTTGTACCTCAGTTTCAGTCTGCCTAGTAGTCTGTTGTCATGCTCTAATTCACTGAAGAAAATTGCTTTGGGAATTCTAGAATCTCAAGAGAATATATATTATAATATATATATATATATATATACATATATATATATGGAGACATGGTGGAGTAATGGATAACATCTAGGATTGAGGAATTGGAGAGCCGAGTTTGAATGCTAGTTGAATATATTACATTCACTTACATGCTAATACCCTTGAGAAAGGTATGAATCCTCTTCTTCTCCCAACAGCTATGGGTAAATAGCAGGACAGACGGGGTTCTAGAGTCTTGGATGGCAACTGGTCTAAGAGAAGGACAACTCTGAATTCAAAACCTGTGGAGAGTCATTTGGGAACCTTGAGGTAAATGGCGCACCAGGTCTATGTATTTGGCTTTACATAAAATGTGGTTGGTTTTGTACAAAGCCTTCACCACTGTAATCAAATCATCTGTATATAAGGATATATATTATGTTTAATCAACTAAATATATATATATATATATATATATATATATATATATATATATTATTTATTTATGGATTCTCTCACATCTATCGACACATTACTGATGAGTCCTTTCTTGAGAGTAGAGTCCAATTCTAGATCCACAAGATCTGTGGCAGATGCTGCATTGATAAAGTGGGTTCTGAGTGCTACTGTTGGTGTTCCTCTTGGCATGTTTCTCAATGAGGAGACTGGTATGCCTGTTCTCATAGACATCAATGCCCTCTTTGCAAGTTCTCCTCCAGGGTGCACGGGCTTGGGTAGTACAGGCTTGAGTAGTACTTTCCCAACTATCACGGCTGATGCTACATCTCTTGAGATTATATTTGTGTCATTGTACCTCAGTTTTGGTCTGCCTAGTGGTCTGTTGCCATGATTTAATTCACTGAAGAAGATTGCTTTTGGAATTATTGAGTCTTCCATCTGGTATACATGCCCTACCCAACTAAACTGTGCCTTGATTATCTGGCTTTCTATGTTGGGTACATCGTTCTAGGACCTCAACATTGGAGACTTTATTCTGCCATTTAATTCTGCAGATGGATTTCAGGTAGCATTGCTGCCTGCAATCCATCTGCAGAATCCATCTCCAGAAGTTTAATATGGCGATGATAGACTGTCCATGTTTTGCAACCATACAAAAGTGTGTTGAGGACCACGGCCTTGTATACATTGATTTTAGTTCTTAGTCTCACACCATGTTCATCCTATAGCCTACGTCTAAGCATTCCAAAGGAACTGTTTGCTCTCACAATCCATTGTGTGATCTCATCATCTATAGTCACAGAGTTTGACAAAATACTTCTTAGATAACAGAAATTCTCTACTGACTTTAGAATAACTTGTAATAAGAGGCAACAGAAATAAAATGAAAGAAGTCTTATTCAAAATTAATGATATTGACAATACTTCATCCAACAAATTCAAAGATATAAATCTGTTGAGTCCATAAAGAAATACATGTATAAAAAATTAATCATACTCTCATTGGGTCATGTCCAAAAAAAATAAACAAAAATTAAAGTGTCAAAAATAATTATAATAAAATAATTATAACAATTATAATTATCATTAATTAACTCTTTATAAACCCCACTCTTTTCTCCTTTACACACAAAAACATGTGACATTCTCACTATCAGACAAGCAATCAACACAAACAGGCCGTCAACATTTGCATCTACAAAAATTTTGGCTCCTTTTCTTTTTTCAGGCCATAATAGTGACATTTATCTCTTAGCATTCAATAAATTCGAGGTAAGAAAACTTCCAAGACACTTCTTGTATTTTTCCAACTAAATTATCTGGACACTCATTACACACATTTATAAAAAAAATGTACGTATACATTTTACTTATTTTTATCTTATCATTCTGTCAGATTCTGATTCATATTTGATCTACATTTGACTCCAAACTCATAATTTTGTTCAGTATTACTGTCTCTCGTTTCTCCAACACCACATAACAACCACATAATAAATAATACTCATTTTGTTGTTTCTGTCTTGCTGTTTCTCATTTTTATGAGTATTTTTGTATATCTAAATGTAAATAGTTATTTTTTTAATTATTTTGCCCCAAGCAAGGTAGTAATGCAACTAGCACACAGGGGGTTACATGGAGTGAAAGTGAAAAAAAAGACTGAGTATAGGGAGGTTTGAGGAAAGGACAAAATTTGAATGGGAATCAAGAAGACAGAAGATGGCAATTGGCATTGCATTTAAATCTTTGAAGATTGTAGTTATCAGGGAAGCAAGTAAACAGAAGGGAGTTCCACAGGTGGGAAGTGCAAGAAAAGAAACTTTTGGAGTAGAAGTGGTGGTTGCATTTTTCTATTTCAACAGTAAACAGGTTGGACCTAGATGTCAATCAGTAGCATGCTTAAATTCATGTACTTGAGTCACCAGGGAAAAAATCTTGTCCGAGTAATTGCCATGGAAATATTTTCAGAAAAGACAGAGAAAAGCCATGCCATGTCAGTGAAAAAGAGACTGGCATCAAGATGCCAGGTCAGGATCAATTACTTTACAGATTCTTCTTTGGATTTTGTCAAAATCTTCAAAATGAATAGCAGAAGCACCAGACCATTTATGGCTGCAGTATTCAATGGTAGGTTTGTAAATGTGCAAAATGGATTCTGACGAGAAATATTTTTGTGTACGTCACAGGGACCCAACTCTCTTTTCAATATTTACTTAGAGTTATATCTCCCCTACAAATCATTATAATTATTGAAAAATAAGTTTAGGGTGAAATAACTCACCTGAATGATTTGTTGTTCCAGTTGACTGTTGCTTTTACATAATTCCATCAATTGTTTCATAATCAGTTTGGTGCTTTCAGTCTTCCCAGCTCCACTTTCTCCACTGGAAAAAGATGATAAGATGAGAGAATTTTTCTTCTTTCTTTTTAATCAATATATCTCAAGAAGGACAATAATTCCACTAAGATACAAGGGGCTACTGGGAGGGAAAGAGAATGAAAAGACTTTAGAAGAAACGTGAAGAAGGTCAGAGTGTACAACAGTTATAATGTGAATATGACAACAAAGATGAGGATAAGAGTCCAAATAATGTAAATAGTGTAAATAGCATTAAACTTAACAAGAACTTTCTTGCACCAGTTAACAACAAATTGAAGCTCATTTTTTGATATCAGCTGCCAATTTGATTCTCTCAAACCTATCAGGCTTACGATTAAGACAGAAGTAAATATTTGTGTATGTATATTTTCCTTTTTAACATGTTTTATTTAAAAATATAGACATTCTATATCTATGAAATCGAACCATCTTCTTTTCTATTGACCTTTTCTTCTTTTCTTTTTTGCTAACCTGGCCACTGGAGATGCACAAAATCACCAAAATCATGCTTTCACCTTATATTGAGTCATCATCAGGAGTGTGTAAAACTAAAGTAATGTGAAGAAAATCAAAAGCATTCTAAGTGGTACATCTTAAAGTGTTATATCCTTAAATTAAACCCAAACAGAGGAAGTCTTTTCTACTACATTCTTAGAAAAGAAGATATTTAAATTAATGGGATATGATTCATCTATTTGCAATCATTTGATGTGAATTTTTAAAAAGGAAAAGTCATGAGCAGATATATACAGGGTGCAATGGATAAATTGTCATCTAAATTACACAAAAATGAAAATAACACTTGACATCTTATTTTAGCAGATATATTTACCAAAATTACATAAAAATATCTTGAAATACTAAAGAGTAAATGTATTCAATAAAATCGAAATTGGCTTCAGCCACGGCCTCCAGAAAACTTTGGAGTCTCCTGCAACTCTTTTGGACACTCTCCTTGTTTAAGTTGGTGAATGCTATAATAACCCTTGCTTTCAGTTCATCTTTGGTATTAAAAGGAGTTTGTTGGTCTCTTAATCAACTGCACCTCACAAGGAGGTTGCAGTTTGGGAAGTTAAGTGGCTAGGTGTAAGAGGCGATGTGATCACAGAAATTGTCTATCAGTGATGAGTGGATTCTCCTGCTTATGTAGCATCGTGCAGAGTCCTGTTGCCAGACTTAGGGTCTTCTAGCAGCCATCCTCTTGACCCAGAGCAGCACTATCTCCTCAAGGTAGTTGATGGAGGCCTCTATATTGTCTGAGGTCCTCCCAACAAATTTAGAAGTTCTTTTCTTAACAAAATGATCAGAGTGAGTTTTCTGAGCTGCTGTAACTTCATAATCACCATTAGACTTATCCAATTCTTTCCAAATCCTTTGCACTGTCCACACAAACACTCTGAAATATTCATATTAGAGCTTCTGGTGCAAATACCAAGCAGTGCAGCATGCCATTTCCAAATTTCTGGTGGAATGAATTGCTTCATAGTGCTCTTTTTTCTCACAGACGGTGCCCAACTGACGTTACGGTACTGTGCAGTTGGCAAAATTGAAAACAATGCTCATGGACGAGATTAAAAATATAAAATAGCAACAATTTCCCCATCATACCCTGTAAATCTTTTACTTTTTCAATAAAAACTAATAAAATCAAGAAGTCATGAATATTCATCATTCTATAGCAATGGTTCTCAAACAGTGTGGCATGCCTCATAGGTATGGTGAAAGAGGATAGCAGGTGAGACGGAATGATTGAAACACAATCAAACATTTAAAAACAGTTTTAAAAAATCCATATGTCAAAAATAAATATGATTTCAAAATTTTAAATATTATTATAGATTACTTGTAATTGCACACATGAGTCCCAGAGTAAATAGTTATGAATAATTATTAACCGATTTAAACACTGTGATATTTCTGCATTATATCAAATATTAAGAATATAGTAACTAGATTCTGCAAATTGAAGGAGAGAGTTATCAATGATAATATTCTGTCTTCCTTTAACCCTCTCTCTTTTTTTATTTTTAAATGTACTTTTTATCACATGAACAAATTTTCATTCAAAAAATATGGCCCAGAGAAAAAATTTAGGAATCCCTGTTCTACAGTATTATAAGAATTCACATCTATAGAATTTACTTATGCAGAAATAAAGGTCTTTAAGATTAGTTTACTAATGCTTGCAATATCATCATGTATTTGTTCTTGCAAGCAGAAAAGTTCTGTGAAGTAATCAAAAGGAGAGACTTCAAAACACAGTAACTGCAGAGAAAAGGGCCTACTTCAACACACAGTCCACATCTGCTAACAAACAGAATCAGTGTCTTTTCTTAATAACTGAGGGCAAATATTCTGACTGAATAGCTTTCACCAATTGTTGAGCATTTAGTTTTAAAGATTTATTGAAAAAATGTACAGAAATACCTAATTTCCACAGTTTTTTGATTACAAACTGACTTCAGAATTTGACTATTTCAAGAATAAATTCAAATAAAGTTGATAGTTTTTGTATTAGATACATTCAATTGAAAATATATTCAAACCAGAATTCTAATTATGAGTCACCACAAGCAAAATATGCAGATTTTTTGCTGTATTTGATAAGAAAGAACTGTGTAAAAAAATTGTAAAAGATTACAAAAAAGATACACAATGAATAAGATTTGTTAGATCATAATTAATAAAAACAAAAAATAGATAAAAGTGTATATAAGATTATAATACTGCCCTGCATACATCATTAGACAAAAATGTTTTAAATTTGCATTGTTTATTGAAAATCACACTAAAACAACTACACTGTATAATAAGCTACATCATATTAGAGCTAAACTGTTTTAGTATAATTTCCCTTTGAAGTAAATGAAGGACTTATTTGATGGCACAATGATTAAATAATAATATGGCTTGTGCCATGCATCTTGTCTTTATACAATTTGTAAAGCTTCAGTAAATTAAAAACTTTATAAGTCTTTCACTGATCACCAGAATGAAGTTCCAATGCTTGGATTTTGAACCAAAACTTAATCTTTAAACTTGTCTCGAAAAAAATATTTTGTCATTATTTATCATGTCAACCCCCCCAACTTTCAAACTGAAACACTTCCAAAACTGACCTGCTCTATTCTGCATAAGTTTTTCCTAACTATATGGTGTCCCTAAAGTTTGGGCACATAGGCAAATATGTATATTTTCAAGAAATTAAATTTTCAACTTTTTATTGAATTAACAAATAACGTCTCCAATATGTGATGCAAAGGTTGATGCGCTTTGCAAGATTCACATGAACACAATGCAATAATTCCACATTGACATCAATTTTAGCATGTTCACTCTTTATCCATTCAATCAAGTGTGTTGCATCTGTGATTTTCATTAAGCCCACCTCCTTTAGCATACACCAGAAAAAGAAGCCAATTCTTTCTTCTTTCAACAAAACCATGTGGAGGTAAAATATAGTTAATGAGATTTCCTATGAGTCCTGATTTTAGGGAACCCTGCAGAAAAAAAAACCCCCAAAAAACAGAAAACTTCAAAATCTTATAGTTTACCTGATAAGAATACATTGGTTCTGGGGTGTCTGGTTTCCAATGCCCAACATGTTTTGGTAAGCGATGTCAGCCATTGCAAAAATATGAGGAGGGTTGTCAGATTTCCGAGCGTGGCCATATTTCTCAGATGTCTGTCAAATAGATAAAAAGAAACAACAAACTTTTAGCATTATCAGATTAGTCAAATTCCGGCTTATTTTATTGATTTTTATTTATATATATGTATTTATTATGACATTAAAGTCAAAATTGATTTGTAATCTTTTGGTCTCTATCAGTTATTCTGTAGTCAGTGTTAAATCTTGTCTGCATCCCAAGGCTCCTCCAGTTATGCTGTCACAGCTTCATTACCTCTTTACCTATTACATCAAGAAGAGAGGGCACAACCATCCAGTGTACTGATGCCTCTAATGTTTTGGTACTTCAGCTTAGTATAATAGTATGCTCTATTCTTGAATCATCTACAAGCCCCTGTGGTTTCCATTTGCTACCATGTACTGAATTCACATATTCTTTATATATATATATATATATATATATATATATATATATATATATATATATATATATATATATGAAAATTTATCTGATTTAACCAGTAGAGAAGACAATATTTATGAATAAAAATGACAATAGGAAAACTAGTAATTGCTGACGCATTTCGTCCAATGTGGACTTTATCAAAGCAAAATACGAAATGAATTTAATTAAACAAGGTTACTAATAAAAACAAAAAACAGAATGTTCCTAGCAACTGGAAAGTAGAGAAATGCTATTTTCATATTGTTAACTGAAAATAATGTCAGTATTTGTCACGTGTGGAGAATATTGTCATTATATCTGTGTTGATGTATTCAACCATTTTCTTTTGATTTTACGAATCTCTTGTGTAAATTTGTTTGTGAGAGCAGTAATTTTGTTAAGAAAGGTGAAATGGGGAAAAAACCTGGAAGTAGATTAATATTTGGGTAATATTCTATGGTGGCACTCTCTAGAATTTTCCTTCTGAGTGAGTTATTTCCTTTTTTATGAGTGTAGCATTTTTAAAATCAAAATTATGGTTGATTTTATTTTTATGTATGACTAGTGCATTAGCTAAGTTGTTTTTTGTGAGGTCTCTTTTGTGCTCATAAATATGTTTTTTTAAATTTCTACTTGTTTCTCCAATATATTGGGAGGACCAGTTTTGGCAATTTATTTTATAAATGCCTGCTTCAGAAATATTATTGCTATTAATGTTTGAAGATCTTAGTATATCCATAATGGTTTTGGAAGTGCTTTTGACTATTCTAAGATTATTTAGATGGGATAGGTTATTCTGGATAGTGGACGTGACAGAGTCGGTTGGTAGTATTATGTATCTGTTTTCATGTGATTTACTATTGCGGATTATGTTATTAGTTTTGTTTTGTTTGTATATTTTGTATGCCTTTCTTCTTGCATTGTGGATGAAATGATATGGGTATTGTAGGTTTTTGAATGTGTTTTCTATGTATGTTTCTTCTTTAAATAAATATTGGGGACTACAGATTCTTAATGCTCTTAGATAGAAACCTATAATAATTCCAGATTTAATTTTTGAAGAGTGGTTTGAGTAGAAACTGATCAGATCATTTTTGTTTGTAGCCTTTCTGTAAACGTCAAAATTGAGTTCGTTATTATTTCTAATTAACAAAATGTCCAGGAGCGGAAGAGTGTAGTTGGTTTCAGCCTCGAAAGTGAAGTTTATTGTAGGTTCAACGTTGTTAAGTTTAGAGAGAAGATCCATTAAATTGGTGTTTTTTGGAATTATTGATAATGAGTCGTCTATGAATCTGAAATATGAAGAGTTTGTAGGGAGAATATTTTTGAATGAGTCACTTTCTAGGAATTCTAAAAATAGACAAACAAGAATGTCACTGAGAGAAGATCCCATTGGTAAACCAAATTTCTGTCTGTAATGTTGGTTATTAAAAGTAAAGAAACATTGCTTGGTAATTAATTGGCATATTTTTATAATTTTATGTATAGATATAGGTAATTTAATTTTTGCATTTGTTAGGTGTTTTTTTAAGTAAATTTAAGCATTTATCTATGGGGACGTTTGTATAGAGAAATTTTATATCTAAACTAGCCACATATTTGTTTTTAATGTCTATGTTTTTTAATTTGTTTAAGAGGTCGCCTGAATTTTTTATGTGTGATGGACTAATAGTGCCGAGAAGTGGAGTTAAAATTCTGCTTAGTTTGCAGGCTATTTTATGTGGAGCGCTGCCTATCCCTGATATGATAGGTCTTATTGGTATGTTTGGTTTATGCGTTTTTGGTAATCCATATAATATGGGTGTTTTTGGATGGTATTTGTTGAAGCTTGAATAAGCATGGAATAATAATAATACAACACAAAATGTACGTAACAAAATGTATTGAAACAATGAAAAAAGGTACACAATATTTACAGGTAGTTTTGGTATATTCTTGGGAAGACTGTTCCTGCAGAATGGGTTGACTAAGTCGCAGTCGGGCAGAGTCTCTGGCTTCGATCTCTTAATCTTCCGTCGTCTTCCGGTACCAACCCATATTTATATGGTCGGTACTCCACTTATGTAAATTAGGTGTATCATACACAACAGTATTCAATAAGCTTTACCCAGGAGAAGTCTTCATTTTTTAGTAGTTTTTTGATGTTGCTTGTAAATTTTTGTGTTTCTTTTATAGCTATGTTTTCATTTACTTTTTCATAGATGTTATCATCATTAATGAGCTCTCTCATCTTCTGTTGGTAAATGTGTTTATCCATAATTACAATTCCCTGCCCTTATCGGAAGTAGATATATGAATGTTTTTGTTGTTAGCTAATTCTTTCAAGGCTTTAATGTATCTTCGAGGAAGTGCAGTGTCGTTCGTATTTTTTGTGTGTAGCTGTGATTAGGCCCTGAATATAGCCTTTGGTAAAATCAGAGTCATTGTGGTGATGATTTTTGATTATGTAATCTTTTGAGCTTGTGTGAGCATTGAGGAATAACTTTTTCCTCAACGCAATTTCTAAGAAAGTTTTTGGCACTTCAGTTATATTTAAAAATACACCCTTCCTATCATTTCAAATAATGTATTAGAACCTTCCAGAAATTTTTAAATTGAGTTTTATGAATATATTCTCATGTTTTTACATTAAGTTGATGTAATCATTTCTAACATTTTTTCTGTCTAAATCTGGTATTTAAACAAATTCATAGCATCATTATTCAATCACTAAAATATTTTCCCTGAATTCATATGGTTTTAGTCACCTTTCAGATAAATTGTGTATTCTGTCATATGAGGCTAGTGTCAAATTTTCCAGTATGTTTTTGCCAAAACATTTTATTTATATAAATTCATAGCATCATTATTCAGTTATTAAAATGTTTTCTCTGAATACTTTGGCCTTATGTTTCCTTTCATATAAATTGTGTATTCCATTGTATTTAAAGATATATTTCCCTATCATCATTAAATATGCATTGGAAACCTCTGGAAAGTTTTAAAGTGAGCTTCATGGATATATTTTAAATCTTTTTATTTTTAGTTAATGTTTCCAGCATTTTTCTGACTAAATCTTTTATCTATAACTTCATTATTTAAATCATGAATGTATTTTCTCTGACTTCCTTTGAGGTTGATATCAAAGTTTCCAGCATTTTTTACTAAATCTTTTTCATGAAAATTCATAGCATCATTATTCAGTAACAAACAAGCAGCTAAGAAAGTTGGTTCACTGCGTTCAGCTAGAAAACTTTTTCACTAGAATCTATCTTAAATATTTATAACACTACCATTTGTCCTGGCTTTAAATACTGCTGTCACATCTGGTCTGGTGCTCCTGCTATATATTTAATTATTCTTGATTAAATCCAAAGATGAATCTGCAATGTTATTGGTCCTGACCTGGCAGCTCTGTTTCAGTCACTTTCTCTGAATTTTTATGATGGATTTAGAATATGTTCTATCACTGCTTCTATTCCAATTCCAGATCATAGTTTCTGTTTTGAAAAGGTTTATCTTGACCCTTACTTCTTGGAACACTTTGTAGAGGATGCAGATTTTTTGTTTAAGATCATTCTTGTCCTAACTATGAATGCCTATGTCATCAGTATATCACCCCTCCTCACCAATAAACTGACCTTGGAAGGGAAAACAGGAACACTGTTTTCTATAAGTAGATTAAATTGGGATGTAGTATGGAAGGCTTAAATGATCAGTGCCCATCTCTTCACATCTGTGCTTTTATATGCACATATCATAATCTAGGAAGAGATTAAATAAACTAAGGCTCTCATTTCCTCCTTGCCATACTCCTGATAAAATTTAAAAGGATTCAGTATTGGGGTCTTCACCAGACAGGTACATCTTTGTGGACCAATATAGTTCTTCTATCAGATATATACATTCAGTGGAGTCAGAAATTGGAAAATAGTTTCTAATGGATGAGAAAAGGAAGCCTCTATTGATGTGATTATATGCTACTGAGAGTCCAACATAACAGACAGACAATTTTTCATTGGAGAGCTATGTAATTTCTTGGAGCTATTTGAGTTAAGTTATTTGATGATATATAGGCCATTATTACACCTACTGCCTGAACAAAAGCCAAATTGGATTGTTAGGACTTGGCTTTCATAGAATGATAAGAGCCTAGTTAGTAAAATATTTATTAGTACTTTCATCATAATGGATCCAACTGAGATACATGCATACATTGTTTTAACAGAAAAATTTTATAAATTTCAACTGAAAGTTGCACTGGTTATTTGTGCCAATAAATATTGAATATTTCCATAAAAGGAAATGACTAATATTACCACTAGCATTACCAAAAGAACATGTTTTTTCTTATGTTTTTATATTTAAAGTTATTATTCTCCAGTAAATGTCAAACATACTGGCTAATTCATAATAAAAATTCCTAATAAAAATTCCTAATAAAATTCATAATAAAAATTCATAATAAAAATTCATAATAAAAATTCCTAATAAAATTCATAATAAAAATTCATAATAAAAATTCATAATAAAAATTCAACCAAACTCAGAAAATAACTTTTTCCCTTGTGAATTCCATTTACAGTGATCACCAGAAGGCTCTCCAAGATAAAAACATTTTCTTTATTTT